TTAGGGTGGTGTAATAAACTGCTTTTTTAAATTCATAGCAGAAAAATATAAAATGCAACAGTCTGGGGGTAGATCTGTCTCCCAGAGGACTGAGGAAAGAGAGCTGAACTTTGCAGGTAACTGCACTCCCACCCATGATGGGTAGAAGGGCTTCCTTTTCTATACACTACATTGTGGGGTGCAGGGAGGAGTGAGCTCACAGAGCAGGAGATGTGTTTTCTTAGATCATAACCGGAAGGGCTTGGTAGAGGAACTCTGGATGCCCTGTAGACAGTCTACAGAGGGCACCGGATTGGAGCATTGTGATTATGAGGTTGTGCTCCGCACAAATGCTTCTACTTGAAGGGCAAACAAGAGCTGCTCGCCCAGCGCTTATATGCAGGGCTGCACCCTCCCACTGACTACAGTTTATCAATATGAATGAGGCCTCTTTCTCCAATTCACATTCAAAGGATTGGGAGAAGCCTGTAAGTGAAGTATAGACAACCAGGGCCCTGGGGTAGGGTAGGAAGTGTCCAGTCACAAAACCTCACCAGAATCACATCAATGAGAAATCCCCTAGAGCCCAAGGGTCTTCAAAGAACTGATTAAATTGGGATTAGAAAAGACAGCTTTGAACCCCTGCTAAACCTAGGAAGAAGCAGAGCTAAGTGAGTGCTTGTCAAATAGGACTTTGCTTGTCCAGTCATGTCACTTACCTCTGACCTGCTCAACTCATCTCCTGATGGAGGTGCATGGAGGATGAGGATGTGGAGCTGGCTGAGCAGAGAGGGGACAACTAGCCAGGTCCCATCGCAGGCCTCACTCCTGCTCCTGCTGCTCTCCAAGGCTGGGGAGGGGAAGAAGTTGAACTTAGGTGGATGCTGGAATTTTGGTCATTACTGTGCATTGAACCTAATTCTGTATGAGTCTAGTAAATCTAGGATTTTTTTTCTTTTTTCTTTTGGTACTAAAGTGAAGGAAGGAATTTTATCTGGGAATAATCTAAAAGTCAAAGCACTAGCCTTGAATTACATCCAAGGGGATGGAGAAGAACAAGCCCTATAGGCGAAAAAGAGCAGTGGTAATGGTGAGAAAAGAATAAAATTGTTTTTGTGGTGCTTTATGAACCTCCCTTGTTAGGTGTATAAATGATCTGATCAATACTTTGAATTCTTTTGCATTTTTCCCCTCATTCTCACAGGGGCAAAAAAAAAATCCTTGGATATTTACTATGTGTTTTGTTTTCGTTCTGCATATTGTATAGTTAATGACTGAATTAAAGTTGGTTCTAAACGTGAATGTTCAAATATTAAAATACCTATCACCTACAAGTGGCTTCTTTGGAAGATTTTGATTTTTAGTTATTGAATAAATAGCAAGAAAATAAAGTAAGTTAAACTAAAAAGTAAATATAAAATTAGTAGATTCTTTGAAAATACTCATCACAAGAAACTGAAATACTTTGTCTTTCCTATTAAACTGGAAGTTTCACTGTGGCTGAGTATTTCCCATTAGATGCTGGTACTTCTGGAACTAATGAGTGTGTGGAGGGTGGGGGCTTGGAGAAGACTGGCTCAGTAGACATTTGTTGAATGAATGAACGAACCTTTAAAGATTAAAAGATCGTATTGACTTTTAAAGTCGAGTAAACTGAGCCCTGGATATCGCATGTGTTCCCAGATTTCTATTTAAGAAGAGTTTAGAATTGTTATTGTGGTTCACTAATCTGGTTCATTGGTTGGTAATCTAGTTCACTCACTTTATCAGAGGGGTGGATGTTTGCAAAATCACTTGTCTATCTCAAATTCCTAAAACTTCATGACATGTTATAAAGCTTAATAGGCATCTGATGAATAAAAGATTAAATGGTTGGAAGACCTTCCTAGGGGTTTTGTCTCAATTCTGTATTTTCATGGCAGCAAATTGTTTTTAGTGTTAGGTTTCTGTAAAATAATTTTTTGGGGGGTGGGCAGGGATAATAGGATCAGATGAAGTTTATGAGCTTTTCAGGAGAACAAAAGCCTCTGGGCATAGCCAGTGCTTGGAGGAGTTAATTTATCAGATTATGTGTGGTTAGGATCACTGCTTTTACTCTGGATTCATGACTCCAGCCTAAATAAATGATGCAAGGCACAAATGCTAAAGGAGTTCAGAAGAAGGAAAAGGTCAACTGGTTTACATTTTCACCTGTAAATTTAATCCCAGAGGTTTGGGCAAAGGTTTACATTGTACATTTTAGATAAAACATATGATGAAGTTATTTATTTTGGTTTTATGTTGGTTATTTCCTTCCTGAAAATTCAAATCTATTTTTCATACCTGGAAGCAATGATATACTGAATGAGTCATCCCTAAATCAGCCATTCAGTACAGAGCAAGGTCCAGTTAGTTATGCATGTGTGTGTATGTATGTATGTATGTATGTAAGTATTTGAGTAACATTCATTGGAAACTATCAAGTGCCTAACACTATGCCAAGTGCCTAGGATATCAAAGATATAGTTAGGGCCCCCGACCTTGATGATTTCACTTCTGATAATGGTCAACAGAAATGTGAACAAATCAATAAAAATACAATGTGATGAAATATATATGAGAGGTCCTTTAGGAAGGAGAGTGACCTGGTGGAAACGGCCACTATATATTAATCAGAGCTCATGGCCTTTGAATGTGATGACCCAGGGTGAGAGCCTACTGCTCCAGAAGTTCTCTACTTTGAAATGCAGATGTTTGAGAAAGGGGAGTATATCAGTTGGAAATGCCTTTTGGCTGCAATTAACACATTGCCCAACAAACATTGGATTAAACAAATGGTGCTCTTCGAGTTTATTTCCACATATCAAGACTATAGAAATAGGCAATTTTGGTATGGCTTCTGTGGCTCAGTGTTGTTAGAGCCAGCATTTCTGTCTTTTCCTTCTTCGTGTTGCAATATTGCTGCTCCAGCTCCAGCTATCACATCACTCTCTCAGGAAGCAAGAATAAGCAGGATCAGCAGGGTAACCTCTATTTACTCTGTGTATCAAGGATGCATGATCTCTCTCAGAACTACATAGTAATATTATCATTTATGTCTAACTGGATAGACCTTTTCATATGCCTGCCCCTAGCTACATATTATATTGGAAAGGATATAATTCTCTTTTCCAGTCTCTTTAATGTAAGACATCAAGAAAGAGGGTAAATGGGATTGGCAGTTGGGTCAACCAGCCAACAGTGTCTGGCTCAGGGAGTAATTTCACCTCTTCCCTCTAAAACCATTTCTATGCTGGAGATAGTGTTCCAGCGTATACTCTAATTTTTGACTTGAAATTGGAGGACATGAATAGATCTTCTATGGAAGGGAAAATTTTTGTAGTTGCTTATTGAGGGCATTCCTTCCGTGGTCTTTTACAGCCTATGGCTAAGTGACTTTTGGGGGCCAAGGTCAACTGTAGTTCCTAGTCTTAATTACCCTAATACCTGGCTCATTCTTAATCTGAAAGCAGTATAGAACATTTAAGATTCTTGGGGCCTAAAAGTACATGCCCCCTTAAAGAAAATCCTAAATTGCAATGGAAACTATTCGTGTTGATACGTATGTGTACAAATTCCAAACAACTATGTCCTCAGAGCTGTTTGGGAGGATGTTCAGTAAATATTAAATGTATTTAAGTGCATAAAAAAAAGTTTAGTGTTGACTCCTGAAGCATGAATGTTGTGCACTGAGATGTACCTTTAGTGTCTCTTTTCTGGGAATTCATTCAATAATAAATATTTATTAAGGGCCCACTCCATGCCAGGCAATGTGCTATATGCTGGGTATGCAGGATAGATTAGTTCAATACAGCTCTTGGTGTTAGGGAGCAGATAGCCAGAAAAATGCTTTCAATCAATATAAACTTTATTTTTAGGAGTGTTCCAAGCATAGCCCTTATGACCACAGGAGATGTCACAAGCTCTCAGTATTGTATTTCAGGTTATTTTACTGTGATTCACAATATTCTGCTTAAAAGTTTATTTTACCTTGCTACTTTGGAAAGATTCTTTTCATTGAAAAACGAAAGCAAACAAACAAAAACTTTCTTCCGCCCCCCGTCTTTTTCCTCCTTTAACCTTTCATGTGTTAGAACAATATTTAATACAGGTTCATAAACAAATTCATTTTTTAAATGTGAAAGACCATGTACTTACTAGGGAAAACTTTTCCGTAAGGAAAATTGTGGTCCTGAATAATAAAGGATTTTTTCCTTTGATTTAGTATGAGGACACATTAAGAGAGGAAAGTTTCTAGGAGGAGAGACCACAGAAATGTAAACCTAAGATGTTAAGATTTGCTGTCATTTCTCATCCAGAAGAATAAAATTAATTCAAGATTTCAGGAGAGTTTTTTTCCTCAGGCAAAACATATTTTGCTGGAATTATCTTAGCAATGGAGTCAAAGCTTTAATTAGGCAATTGTTTCTGTTCTCTGGTATAGTTTTGTAGCGGAGACTGTCACTGAGGGCATGACACTTAATGTCAAATTAGTAGTAGCATCTGCAAATAAAAAATAACCCTTACTGTTCAAATTAGAATCTCTCAGACTGAAAAGAAGGGTTGGGTTAAATTTCTGGGGGAAATGTTTATTAAAATTATGTGTTACAAAGCTTTACTTTTATGATTCATAATGTTTTCCTAAAGCATAATTATTTTGATTCTCAAAGTTGTAGAATTAATATGCTCTTATTAATTGCAATGATTAGAATGTAGTGAAAGGTGGTGGTGCTTAAGGTCTGCAGGGAAGAAAGTGCAAATCCCTTTAGCTGCCTTGAATGAATTGCTTTTGCTCCTGAGTTTATGCCTCCACTCATAAAGTTGCTCTTGCCCATCCTGACTCTTGCCTATCTATACTCTAAGGGTATGATTTCCCAAATGGTTGTTGGAGGATGTTCGGGGGATCCTCTCTGGCACAGACCAGAGAATAGCTAATAGGAACAATGAAAGGCTCACCAAGAAATCAGCTAATCCAGTGCTTCTCGAATTTTTTTTCTGTCCAGAATGCATGGTGATGTCTGTTCCAGCTGGTTTTCATTCTTGACAGTGTATCTCAAGTTCTGAAGTCTGTTGTCTGCTGTAACTCAGTTCCTTTTCCTTCCACTGAGGAACTATTGGAATGCAGGTGAGTACTGGAATGAACTATTGAATATTTTAGTATTCCACATATGGACTGTTCCAACAATGACTATTGGAGTGAACTGTTGGAATGCAGGTGAGTAAGAGTGACTTTATTCTTGGAGCACACTTATATCCCTGCTGGTTGACACTGAAAGTAAAACCTTCAGGTGAAGTAAAACTTTCAAAAAGCTTGTCACTTTATCATAGGATAAAACTTCCTGTCCTTCCCCAGAAGCCCCTCCATGTTTACATTATTGACGTTTTCCCTTTGAATAGCACTTTTGGGTTTTCAGAAATGCTTTCATGTCTACATTTTTACCTAGATTTAAACTCCTTGAGTTTTTTAAAAAACAATCTATTATTCGTATTTTCTAAGTGAGGAAACTAAGGCTAAGAAAAGTTAAGTAACTTATTTTAGGTCATATAGCAAATAAGTGAGTAAAGCCAGAACTTCAATCAAGCTAACTAACTAGTTTTTAATCTAGTGTGTATCCTAATATCCTACCCTGCCTTTCATTATTCCTTACTCACTGGAGGATGCTCTTCTGCTTCACCCATCCCACCACAGTTATGTATGCTCACAGGTACTCTGTGTTTAAGTTGTTCCTTATACACCTAACCTTCAGCCCCCTTAAAAATTCTGCTGAGTTTCTCTCTTTCACAGGCTTTTAACCTTTACTAGCTTGGCCATGTGTGAAAAGTAAACTATCCCTACTAAGGGCTTAACCAAGTAATGATTTCCTCTCCCAGGTAAGTTTTAGTTTTAAGGAGTGATGCCATGACTGAGGGTTTCAGATACTTTGCAAGTATCTAAAAAGATTATAAACCTATTGTAACTATAATGATTGGAAGTATGGTGGTGCTAGATCTCTGTATAATTTAAATTTAAATGATTAAGTCAAAATCTTAAGAGAATTTTTTGGTTAATATCTATAATCTCCTCCTGCCCCCATGATCCAATCAACTTCCCAGTAAACTATGAAAGGTACAGTGTCCACTTGTTCAGGGTTCTTTGCCTGGAACCTAGCACAGTGTCTGGAACATATTTGTTGAATGAATGAATGAACTTCAACAAACAATATTGCCAACAACGTGCTTGATGATAATAACAGTAGAAGGATGATATAGGGCATATAAAAGTTGATAGTATGATATGGTAATAATAAAAACATGCAATTCTTAGATTTAAGATTAACTAGATGTGTTTGTCGGGACTGACTAAATTATGTTTTGGTAATGACAATCCCCAAATCTCACTAGTTTAAAACAACACTCATACTACATTTTGATTGATGGTTGGCTAGGAGCTGTGTTATGCTGTCATCACTCTGGGACCCAGGCTGATGGCACAGCTACTCTCTCTATGGAACACTGCCAGTTGTGGCAAAAGGAAGGAAAGATCTAGAGGGTCCCACATCAACATTTAAATACTCAGCCATAAAAACCGACAATATAACGCCATTTGCAGCAACATGGATGCTCCTGGAGAATGTCATTCTTAGTGGAGTAAGCCAGAAAGAGAAAGAAAAGTACCATATGAGATCGCTCGTATGTGGAATCTAAAAAACAAAAACAAAAACAAACAAACAAGCAAAGAAAAAAAACAAAGTGTAAATACAGGACAGAAATAGACTCATAGACAGAGAATACAGACTTGTGGTTGTCAGGGGGGTGGAGGGTGGAAAGGGATAGACTAGGGTTTCAAAATTGTAGAATAGATAAACAAGATTATACTGTATAGCACAGGGAAATATACACAAAATCTTATGGTAGGTCACAGAGAAAAAAATATGAGTGTGTATATGTCCATGTATGACTGAAAAATTGTGCTGAACACTGTAATTTGACACAACATTGTAAAATGATTATAAATCAATAAAAAATGTTAAAAAAATAATAAAATAAATGCTCTGATCAGGAAGAGACACACAGATTCTACTTATAGCTCATTGGGCAGAAATAATCCTGGCAACCATTAGGGGGCCAGAGATACAGTTCTACCTTGTGTCCAGAAGGCAGAGGACCTGAAATATCTCTTAAAAAAAAAAAAATATATATATATATATATATATGTGTGTGTGTGTGTGTGTGTGTGTATTTATAACACCTTTATTGTGGTATGATTCCTGTACAGTAAACGACACATATTTCAGATGTACAGTTTGATGAATTTTGATAGCTGTCAGCATCAGTAACTACTACAGTGGGAAAACCGTGTTCGTCTCGTGTGGGAGCTGTATCAGTATTGTGTATTTTCCTGTAATAAGAATGAAGTATTTCTATTTTGTGACCACGTCCTATGGGTCAGGCACTGTGCTAGTGGTTTACACACATCGCCTCCTAGTTCACGCAACACTCATGGGAGGGAGGACTTATTCTTACTTTACACAGATGAAGAAACTGAAGTGAAGTGAGGTCCAGCAGTTGCCCACTTAGTAAGTAGTGGTGTTGATGTTAAAGCTCAGGTCCGACTGACTCCAAAGATGAAGCCCTTGACAACATTGCTTTTATATACCACCTCCAAGGCCTTCAGGCTCCATCTCTGGGCTATTTATTTGTTTTTGGTGGTCATGTTCACTAGGCTCCTGAACGTCCCTTTATCCATAACGCTCAGCTAGCATGCTTTTAATCAATTGAAAGTCAAAAGTCAGCAATCTGTTCTTGCTATAGAGGCTAAGACTGTAATATCTCTGATTTAGAAGGAGAGTTATCATGAGCCCATTGAGACAAATGAACGGTCAAGACTGATTAAACTTATTAGACCAAAGATGAAGTTGTGTTGTTCTGATGATATCAAGTTCTAGATCCTGTTTCCATTGATTGTACAAAATGCTGGTTCAATGCTCAAAAATTACAAATAATAGCTCCAAAATATTTACTATGCTCTAATTATTTTCTTCAAGTTGAAATTTCCATGTAGTAATATTGTTTCCAATTGGTAAAAATAAATATTAATTTCATACGTCGATTTTTTTTCCTGCAAAACTTTCCTTCTGTGAAGGATAAGGTTTTTTTTTTTTCCATATTAAGGGTTTTAGAGATTGCTTCTGGCTTCATCTTTCGTACTATCTCAAGTTCTTTGAAACAGAACATTAATTTTTGGTTGGGAGAGGGAATCTCTTTTGTCCTTGTTTCACATTTCCAAGCCCTCAAAAATAAGGATAGCTCTTCCAGGCCTCTCTGCCCTCTCTCCCTGCTCCCCGCAGAGAAGCCAGTCATCTTACTAACGTGCAGGGGAGAATGAAAAGGACCTGCAGCTTACCTGCTTCTCTTTACTTACTTTGTGTAGGATTCGCCTGCTTGTAGAGATCCTGTTTCATATTTCTTCAGTCTTAAGACACATTTTAAAAACAGCTTAGCATCTCTGAATAAACATATATCTTACGATTAATAGTAGGTCCTAGTTTAAATGCCAGGCAGGTTTCATTTCTTTCTAGCAGTGCATAAAATAAACCACACCTTACAAACCTAATTTTTTTAATTAGGTGAAGTATGATCTTCTGCTTTTCTCCCTAACATATGGTAGATAGCCTGGTCGTGGGGTGCAGTAGTGGGAATGCATTGTGGCTGCATATGTAAGCTGTTACACCAACAGTTTCCTCAGTAATAAAGGGAGAGTCTCCACCCTCCTGACTTTTTCATCAGCTCGGAGTTGGTTCTGAACTTCAGTAGACGGAGAAGAGTCTTACATATTAAATAGGCAAACCTCCAAATCGTGTACATTGGACCAGACACCTTGACAATACATAAGGAGTAGAAGTTGAAAGAAAGAGAATTTGGAGATAGAGGTGTGTTGCCAAAGCAAGACCCTGAATTAATCCAAGAGGGTTTTGGTTTACCAAGCAATAGTGGAGGTGGGAGTGATGGTCTTTTGACTTTGGTCAGCTCTCCATAGCATGCCATATGGCTGCTTTTCACAATTTTATTGTTGGTTTTTAGTTCATGGCACCCTGGGTGGGTGACATTAGGCCTCAGGCTTTAGTAAATTAGCCAGGTGGGATTATGACTTTGATGGGTCACTGAAGCATATAATAACTTTGTTCCAGGAAAGTGACAGTTCTTATTCAGGCAAGACCACCAGCACCTGGCCTTAGAGGCACTCTAGCTTCACAGGTGACTTCAGCCTTCCTGGACAGAGATGCCTTTAGGTAAGACTATGACAGCAAGACCTTGAAATTCACAGGCACAGCTTGGCCTGGTATTTCAGGTGAAGCAAAGTTCAGATGAGTCCTTTTTGACATTGGAAGGAGTAACAGAATTTGCTGTTTTAAAACTGCAAGGCATCTGAGTTTTGTACATTCTACAGAACACTAGTGAGCTTCTAGCTTGGTGCTGTTTGCACCAGGGCTGTTGTGTGCAGTGCTGGACCCACTGACCCACATTCAGCTCACCTCTATGCCGTGTCACCTGCCTTCAAGGCTAAGAAAGAAAAGTGTGGCAGGAATAAACTCTGTGGTCTCAGGCTGGCTTGAGTCTTGTTAACTGAAACTTGTAAACTTTCACTGTGGATCCTGATTTCATAGACCCAAATTATGGGTTTTCCTAGAAAAGTGAGGTAGAGTTTTATCAGTGAATATCTAAACATGAATGGAAGCTCTTTCTATGAACAGGATATGCTATCCTCTTGAGAGAAGATAAAGGTATAGCTCAAAGTTAGGTCATTGCAAACCCACCATTGAAGAAGGAAATGAAAATAAGTTGTACCTTTAATTTTCCTCCAGGAAAATTACATTTTTTCCAGCCAATTAAAAAGCAACTGGAATGATTAGTTAGAAATCAAATAAAGGAAGACTGGCTTAGTGAGCTGGAGAGAGTTGCTTACACAGAAAGCAAACATATGTTTACCAAAGGGGAAAGTGGTGGGGCAGATAAATTAGGAGTTTGGGATTTGCAGATACAAACTACTATATATAAAATAGATAAACAGCAAGGTCCTACTGTATAGCATAGGGAACTATATTTAATATCTTATGATAACCTATAATGAAAAAGAATATATCATAT